GATCTCCCTTGGAGGCGCCTCCGGTATTTGGCAATGGCTTGACATCTTTTTTTAATGTTTCGTATTTACTGCGAAGCTGTTCCCATGTACGGTTTGTCGTGCCGGTTGAATTAAAAGTTTGACAATTCTTTTGCTATGCCGCTTTCTAAAATACAAGATATGCTCTCTTGTGCATATCTTGATGCTCTTTCCAAGTGCATCTATTTTTTTATTTTCTATAATATTAGCTAGAATTTCTACAATTTCAATTAGTCGCCAACACTCATCTTGTGTATAATTAGCAGCATGTTTATTTTTTTCCTTCCAGAACAACAAACTAACCAAACTGTTTCACGACAGACAACGTTTGTCAATGTTGTTATATAAAAACCTTGGTAACCATACATATCTGGCGGATAACCGCCTTATAGGCACCTCTGAATACCCGATAAGTGATCTTGTCAATAATCTCCCCGACAAAAATAACCGTACATTGTAATACAGTACAAGCTAACTTATCGGCCAGACAACGCTGTTGGGAAGTTTATCGGTATATTGTACAACCGGCCCTTAATGTACTAAAGAAGGCAAAACAATACTAAATATCTAACTGCAAAACATAAAATTGGTGAGGTACAGAAGAATAGAGTTTATTGTTTGAAGTATTCCACTTGTAGTGCTAGATATGTGGAAGAGTTTGNTTTATACACTTTTCTGACCTGCACTAAGTTGACATGACATTGCACTGACTTACACTTCATTGCACTATGACGTCATACGAGTGCCATGTCGTGCAGAGTAGTGCAGTCCCAACGAACAAAGCTCATTATTATTCGGTTTTAGTGGCATATACTGACGGAAGCCACAGTGACCACGAAATGTTTCTAGTTTCTCATCAACTGTCACGTATTGTAACAAATTATAATTTTTTTTTCCGTTACGAATTTATCAAACAACTCACTAGTTGGTGGTAATTTGTCTAATTCGCGTTTATCCGATATCGTCGAATCGAAAAAGAATACCAAATAAGGAACCATAGCGACATTGTTGCTCGAAAGATTTCTAGTGCTGCATCATTGGTTTTGAAAAGATCTTCTGCGTTCAAATGGATACATTTTTTGACATCAGCTAAAAGTAATTCTAAATATTTATTTGTATCCATCAAATCTATCAATATCATGCAATTTAGGATTTCTGCATTAAAGAAATGCTTTCAAATTTCTCATATGAATCAGGAGGAACTTTCATGTCACTTCGTCCGTTTTTTTCATTGAACATCTCATCCATAGGTTTTTGCAATTTTGCTTCTTCTTTTTCATAATCCCCCATTTTCTAGAAATAAAATATAAATTGCTGAATTACGACCTGAAACAAACTGATTAAATAGTATTTAACCTTTGATGAATTATATTTTATTACGTCAGAGGTAACGTCGGTGTCACGCAGTGTAAAGTACACTGCACTGGGAAAACTGGTCAACTGTGACGACTGTGATAGCTAAGGCAATGGTCTACTTCTTTCAATTCATCGACTACCAAATATTTCGTCCAGATAATCTTGAACCGTTAACAAATACGGTACATCTTGCTGAAAATAAACAGATGCTATGATATGAAGAGGAACATTATGTATCAATAATATACAACATATCTAGATAAGAATTTTCCGCTACAGTCTAATAATTAAAAGTATATGGACTAAGAATTCCAAACTTTCAAATGCCACGTTATTAGTTTTTAGAGATTTTTTGTACTCCAAATGACGTAATTGGACTTATTGACATTAGGATCCATGTTCATTTCTAATAACATTTCTGTAGCTCGTACACGAATAATTTTATTAGCATCAGTGTATTATTGTTGGTTTTCTCAACATAATCTGTTATGTACTTATCTCACCTTGTAATCATGTTCTAGTTTGGTTATTGATCAATGATGGTTCAAAACATTTATTAAGTTATTTTCCGTCTCAAATTTGATCACATTTTCCATTTTTTTTTAGGTTAATGTTACGTTTCTTGAAAAAAATTAGTGATTAAATTAGTGAACAATTGTATGTAGTTTATTGAATTAAGCTAAGTTTTCTTTACCAGATACTAAACAATTTATTTGATGCAACATTTTTTGTTAGTTTTTGAAGTTCTTACTCTCATTCATAGAAGCATTTGATGAAAAATGTTTCTATTATTTGTTGAATCTCTAGTTACATTTGACTATAAAGTCAAGTTGTTTACATATATTTTTTGTTTGGCACACAAATTTTAAAACACCTTGTTAAAAAATTCTTATAAAAATTCTTAGTTTAGTTAAGTTATTCAAAATCTATGTCTATAATTAATAATTGTTGAAATAATAGGTTATTTAAAATATTTCTTTTTTTACTTTTAACTATTAATAAATAATATATTAATTGAAATTAATCAAAAAAAATAGGGAAGTGGACAAACTTACCATTAAGAACGTTAGAAAAGGAGTTCCTAAATCAAGATATAGCGGACGCGAACAGTATAAAAGTGTTGGACAAGGCGTCAGTGCCAATAGTAAAACTAACGGACAAAAAGACGGAAGTGAAGGTGGACATCTCTTTCAATATGTGCAACGGCGTGAAATCGGCCGAACTGATCAACCAGTACCTCCAGGAGTATCCGGCGCTCCGCAAACTTGTCTACGTGCTGAAACAGTTTCTGTTACAGCGCGATCTCAACGAAGTGTTCACCGGCGGAATCTCTAGTTATAGTTTAATACTGATGTGCATCAGTTTCATTCAATTGCATCCGCGGACAGACGCCCGTCTTAGAACTGCCAATCTCGGCGTGTTACTCATAGAGTTCTTCGAATTGTACGGTCGCAAGTTTAACTACATGCAGACCGGGATTCGGATACGCGACGGCGGTCGGTATATCAACAAGGACGAGATGCAGAAGGATATGATTGATGGCCACAGACCTAGTTTACTTTGTATAGAAGATCCTTTGTTACCGTCTAATGATATTGGTAGAAGTAGTTATGGAGTATTACAAGTAAGTTTTTTTTTTTTGTTTTATTCATTTATTTCATGCAAGCGCCATTAATACATATGGCACAGAAACTCAAATAACGAAGTTAATCTTACATTGAATTTTTCTATTGTGACATATTATTTTTTTATTATTAATTTCATTTGTAATAATAACCTTGCGATACTTTATCAATAATTGATTGTTTTTCTAAATTGTTTACTTTACCATGTAACCCTTTCGTATTCGCTTGAAATCGGGTCGCTGATAAACTATTTTTCTTTAATTTTCTTTCACAAATATCTTTAAATTGACTTTAAGCCTCTATTCAAACACATCTAGATTTCCTATAATAAACTTTTCCAATGCCATAGCGTTTCCAACATTCGCCTTTAGTTCAGTTAATAACATATTTATATGACATTAACTAAACTAAAGAAGAAAATAATAATGTATAATAAATAAATATAAAATGTAATTAGTATTCTAATTAATCAAACTTATGTATACTTGCCAAAATGATAAAAGAGGATTGCGACATCAAAGTTGTACCTGAAACAATCAAAAATGTGTTTCGAAAACAAGGTTAGCCAAAGACCAACAAAACCTTACGTTTTGAATTCCTTAAAAAATATTTGAATAAGTCTATATCAATTTGGGAGTCCATAATTTTTGAGAAATCTAGATTTAATGTGTTTGGATTTGATACTATAGTTTGGCGGAAGTATGATGTACATTTGAAAACAAAGATTTGCATGCTACTGTCAAACTTGAAGACTTGAAGCGTTCTCGTGTGGGAATGTTTGCAGGGGTTGTTACCAAAATTTTTCGAGAAGTTAGCAAGATGGCTATGTAAAAAATGTAATTCGATGCTCATGTTGCAACCAAACATTTTGAAGCTTACCAAGAGTTGTTGTACAATTTATATGTATATTGTGCTCGTAACATTTCTTAATTACTGTTCTAATTGTAAATATTTGGCTGATTGTTGACCTCCCTTTACTGAATCCATACTGATAATCATGGTCGCCAACCCAACCCAATCCACTAGGAGAGATTTCCGCTAATATTTGATCTTCTCTCATTTGATCCTTTCTCATTTCAAAGTTGTTGCCGACTTAATTCGGTTCGTTCAAGTATTATATCGAGGCCCAGCGGTCCAATACCTTCGAAGGAGTCCTCTTCAATATGCTTGCTGTCTTCCCTCGCAATCGTCTCTTTCCTGACTTGAAATCCTCACTTTTCTTTATCTTGCTATACATCCGTTTTATCTCTCTCACCTCGGCCATCTCTTCTAGTTCCTCTATCTTTCCGCGCTCTCACTCTCACCTCTTTCTCTGCACTATGTGGAATGCTTGTGTTCTCGCTCGTACAAACTCCTGCACCGCCACTTTGGTTTCTCTTTGCATTATTCTTTTCCTTGCTTCATTTCTTATATCGATGGCTTCACTACATTCTTGGTCAAACCACTCTCGTCTCTGTAGTTTCTTCTCACATCCAATTGTTGTATTTATTGCCTCAGAGCCGCCTACTATCCGTCTATTCCTGTTTCTCTTGCTGTCTTCCTTTCTATCTTCGTTTTGAGCTGAAATATGTGGTGTGAACCTCTGACCTGTGTCTTGTATCCACCAGTACGTGGTCAATCTGATCTTTCGTAACTTCGTCACGAGATCTTCCTGTGGCTTTCTGGGTGTCTTCGATAAGGTCACTACAAAGTCTATAAGCAGCACCCCATTACCGTTTGACTCCAAGTTTAAGGTTTCCTTTCCTATTGTTGGTCTTTAGATGTGCTCTCTACATATCTTTGGCTTAGATATCCAATTCGTCATAGAATGTCATGTGCGTTATCAGTTGGGGCATGCACACAAAGAAGTGAACAATTTAAATTTCATTCTTATCGTGCATACGCGCTCGTTTATTGCCGTGAAAGCACTACTCAGTTCGCTCACCAATTCATTTTTGCTAGTAGTGTTGCTACTGTAGTAAATCGCATACCCCTTTCTCTTCATTATGTCTTTATCGCTCCATCTTACTTTCTGCAATGCCACCACTACGACCTCATATTTTTGGGAGTTCCATGACAAGGTTTCTCACCGCGTCCCTTTTCTCGTCTTAGTCGTCTCCGCACTTCAGTCCTAGTTTCGAGGTTTGGTTTCGGTTTCGCAACAGGCGTGTTTTTATAGGGTGTGTGAGAGTCGACAATGGATAGGAGATTCTGTGCGATTGTCGTGCGGTACACATAAACTATCCTGTTTGAATCCCAAATCTGTTGATGTTCCAGCTTATTCTTTATAAGTTTTCGTCTCGTTAATTACCATTTACATTTTTTTACAGGTTCACGAGGTGGGTTGGGATATATCTATAATATCTTGCAATTTTCTTCTTTTTGTATCTTTTTTCCGTTATTTACTGCTATTTTTATTTTTTCCAACTTTTCTTTGGTGTCCTCTTCGATATATCATCAAAGTTCTTCTTGTTTATTTAAGTTACTATTCATTAATTATACTATGTGACATTTCTTTATTGATGCTTATTTGTTTTACGAACAGGATTGAAGGAATTTTAATGCATAAATTTCAATAAATGATGATAATAATAAAAGAACATACCAAAGCGGTAAAGTCTTTTTTTATAATTCTATTTTTATTTAATTTACTGAAGGTATACTCTGACAACCTAACTAAGACCTTCAAAGACGAAATACATATATTTATATATCTACTAAATACAGTTTATAGCTTGTCTGATAGGATCCTTATGGTTGCCTTCCAGGTTATATTTCTAAATTATGAACGTACCAAACTTTGACACCCATTCCAACGAAACTTTTTATTCCGTATTTATTTGGTGTGGTATTTTAGAGAGAGATACCGGCGACTAACATCTTTTCAATTGCAACACGTGATCTTGATTAATATCTCTTTTACAGTCTTCAATAAATACAGTAAAGATGTCATGAATAGCACCTTGTTTGTCAATACGTCATCTTTCCTCTGAAGTTGTTCTGTCAGAATTTGAATCATCTTTTCATAACTCCCTTACATTTTACCTGTTACTGTGAACTGTACTTGCGTGATAAAATAATCCTTTCATACTGCCAATCTCTCTCACTAGAGCATTTTGAACTAATAGTTTCAACATTTCGGGAATTTCATAAAATTCGTAATATATGAATTTAGTAACCATAGTTACAAAACTACTATGCATTTGCACTGTCCCACATAAAATACAACATAGCTTAATGATACATGCATTGGGTAATTTACAACTAAACCGAATGATTCTAGTTCTAGGTCTAGTGTTAGTTCTAGTTTTACACTAGCACTGTTACTATATAGAACTAACACTATACATAGAACTAAAATCATTTGGATTTAACCGAACGTCTCTCAAAACGGCTAAACTCAAATGATTCTAGTTGTAGGTATAGTGTCAGTTCTAGTTTTACACTTGCACTGTCACTAGAACTAACATGAGACCTAGAACTAGAACCATTCGGGTTTAGTCGTGCGTCTTCAGACGCTCAGTAGACGTACTCAGTAGTCATTTTCATTATTAAATTCATTTGCTCCCTTTTCCTCGTCCCACTCCATCATTGATTGTTTCATAAAAGTGTTGCAATTGATTCAAAGTATGGAAGATATTGTTATAGTTCATTCATTGAATTTGGGACTTTAAATAAACATAACTTTTTAAGTAATAACCAACAATTTGCTTGGATGCAATCTATGTAACAATCAGTTTTCTTAGAAAATCGTTGGAAATGGAACGTGCAAAAATGTGAAACATTCTAACGAAAAATTTTTAGGTGTAGAAATAGGTCAAAACGTTAAAATTAGGGTCCTAAAGGTTGTTCGAGCCAAAGCAAACGGTCAATATAAAACAAATATAATAACTATTATTATTGCTGTTGATAAAATAACTATCTATAAAGAAAACTTCATTTCGTAGTATGAGAAACTGATAGTTTCTGACAGTATAACTGACATGTTTACAGAGGTTTTAAGCGCTCTCATAGGTTAAGAGCTCAATTTATCAATGGGATAAATTTATCAAGAAGTGGTAAAAGTGGGTCTTGGAGAGAGAGTGTGCTTTTAAGGACTCAAATTTTAATGGTCTAGGTTTTCAGCGTTGTTAAATGTATTTAAATCTAATATAGGGTGTGATAGCTTGTCCAAAAATTTAAAAAAAAATTTCAACTTACCCTCTAAAATGCATCATTTTCAAGATACAGGGTGTTGAAATTTAAAAAAAAATCGTTTTTTGCGAATATCTCCGGAACCGTTTATCGTACAGAAAACAGTGTTTGTAAGCATTTTCTACTCATAATAAGCTAAGTTTTGTGCGAGAAAAAATTTGTTTAAAGTCATAATTGGTGAAGATTTTGAAGGGGTAGTGGTTGTTTTTTTCCCCAACTTCTACGCCACTGGAAAAAGTACGGTTTTGAGACGTCCATTTGAACTGTGAATGTTTTCTACATAAAAAAGGTACTGTAGGTCATGAGCTCTGAAGTTGACCGTTTTCTAGCGTTTGTGTAAAAAATTGTATAATTTATTTTTAACAAGTAGGCTTTAAATTTTATAACAAAAGCTGTCAAAATAACAATTAGTTTGTACCTGCAAAAAGTAAACTTGTATTACAAAATTAATAATGAATTACACAAACGCTGAAATGTGCGAAATGTTACCTTTACGGAATGGCGTGCGGTAATTCGGCAGAAGTAAGGCGGTAGTATCGAGAAAGACATACTGATCGCCCAGTACCACACTATAACTTGTTTTTACGCATTCACCAACGACTATGGGAAAATGGAAGTTTTAAAAGGAATACTGCTGATAATGGGCGGCCTATGGAAGTTGCAAATTCCCAAGTAGAAGAGGTTGTCCTCAACGAAATTGATGAAAATCCGACCACAAGTACCAGAAAAATTGCTCACAAGTTAAACCTATCTCACTCGACGGTTTGGAGAATTTTGAAAAGGCAACTTTTTTATCCCTACCATATCCAAAGAGTACTAACCAAGAGATTTTCGGCCAAGATTTCTTTTTGTACATGGATGCAAGACAAAATAGCTC